TCTAGATGTTCATCCATCATCCCACATTTTCCCACTGGCTATTTTTGGCAGTTGCAAGAAGAAATAACCCAAAGAGGGAAGCATAACAATGTGACAATTCTTATGGCAGACATGTTGACTTGTCACAGCAAGAAGAACACATATAGCTCAACAGACAGATTACCGATGGCTCTGTTCTTACCAGTAAGTCATAAGCATACGCAACATAAACTCTTAGCTTCGTAACACAATTTAACTAATTACACCTGTGTTTGACGAGTCAAAATGTCTACACCGAGATAGTTTTATGCAGTAACTTTTGCATGTGAAAATAAGGTAACTTCAACACACACATACACACACACAAACAAATATAAAATGTTCAATACTGACAATTAAAAATCTCAATGAAGTTTCCCTATGGTAAAAGCGTTAGCAGTGTACACATGATGTGATTTGTAGGTCAGTCAGTGTCCCCCGACCCTCCTCTTCACACACTACGCATCCACAGGCCGATGGATCTGTCAACTCTGAAGCCCCAAAATACATATGGATAAATCACTTCACTCAGTTTCATCTGAATGTTATTTTGTGTTTTTTTTTTTCGTGCTTCCCAGCTGCATGATGGTCATTTGACATGATGTAAAAACATATTGTTACACTCAATTTCATGATGGAGCCAACGCATGTCAGAGTTACTGTTAAAGGTAATTTCACTCTCTCTCTCCACCGTCTGTCTCCTCTCCTCACCTGTAATGAGAAGACAACAGATCAAGGCCCTGTCAGTGTATCTTGGCAACAATTATATGGACTAAGAAGGCAGGTGAAGCAAGCAATGCAGAAAAGAGAGAGAGAGAGAGAGAGAGAGAGAGAGAGAGAGAGAGAGAGAGAAGAGAGCCTACACTGCAGAGATAAGATGGCATTCTCAGTTCGTGCAAAATGAGTTCATTAGGGGAGTGAGAGACAGCCACTGCTGGGAATGGAGGTTTCTGTGTGATAAAGGTTGGAGCGGCGAGAGAGTTTCATTTCCTGTTCTTCAGAGTCAGTGGCCATATCAGGGGATCAGCAGAGAGGCTGGGTGGAGGGAAGAAAATGGAGAGACAGGGAGAGGACAGACGGAGCAAGTTAGAAAGGTAAATGCCAGGATTTTTGCGTCAGAAAAAAAAAAGACTGACCCTCTGGATCGCTGTCAGAACACATTTATATCGAGAACTGAGGGGAGACAGACAGAAAGAGAGTTGAAAGATATGTCAAACTCGGCTGCTCTCTGGAGAGTGGAAAGCCAAAGTGAGCTGCAGTGATTAGTGTGACGGGTATGAAGTAGCATGAGGTTGTATGAAGGGTTGTCTCAGTGCAAAAGGCTCGACAAAACCCATGAGGCATTCCTGAGAATGACAGCAACCATAGAAAGAGAGTATAGGCACATAATAGGCACACACAAACACAGTTGGCTTGCCCACATTAATATAAGAAAGAACACAGGCAAAGATACGAGAGCTGGGGGGGAGATTAAATGAGCTGCAGGGTCTTGATAGACACCTGATAGTGGGAGAGGCTGGCAGGCAGGCAGCTATGCAGCAGATGCTGAGATGGCAGGTACAGCAGAGGTGGAGGGATACGCTGGCCGTGCCGCACTGTTTAATATAGATCTGCAGCGATAAGGCGAGACAGAGAACACAGGATGTGTCCATCAGTCAGGGGGAAGGGATGCTAAGAGGAAATTGCCACAATAAAGCACACGCACACACACACACACACACACTCACACGTATGGGAGAAACTCGCAGCTCAGCGTATGATTATGTGCACATTCACAGAGGGTGCAGTTAAACCTCCCCCAAAAAAAATCAGTTTTATTTGGAACCTGACAGATAGAACTGCTGATGTGTGGGAACTCAGAAACTGAAATAAGGACACTTCTTTAAAAGTTTTCTCCCACTACCTCAGGATATATACTGTACTCACTGCTACAGATGGCTGCACATCTGTTGTGCATTGGATACATACTCAGGTTGGAGAGCTGATTCTTTCATCAACACTGAAATCAAAATGCTTGTGCTCCTTCTTTTACCTCCTTCTCCAGTGTGTGTGTGTGTGTGTGTGTGTGTGTGTGTGAGTGTGTGTGTGAGTCCGCATGACCACAAGACTGTTTGCTGAAGCTGACGATTACAGTTGTCATTCGTGGGATTAATCAGTGGTGACAAGGAGCCATTGTGTTGTGCACATATGTGCGCACAGACACAGACACGGATGATTGTTCTGACAGGTTGGGACAGCCAGCGTTTTAAAGAGGCTCAATGCAACACCCGATTTGAGCTCTGCTGCAGGCTTTGATCGAGGCGATGCACGAGTCACGCCGACGTGTCCGGCCTGCTTTTAAAAGCAGGCAAGTCATGACAGTTCATGGTGCAGTCACTGAGAATGGCTAATAGAGTCGTTAACCTCTACAAACACGGTATCAACAGTGACACGCAGAGAAACCTCACCAGGAGCCCCACGGTGCCCACTGTCTCAGAGCACTCGCACTTGGATCAGAACCTGATCCGGATCCTGTTGCTACACGATGGCCACCTGTTTGTGCCTCAGCGTTTTACCACGTCATTAAAAAGCCTTCAGTCCTGCACATTGTGGTGGATTTTGGTGCAGCGCATAGCGAACACAGCTGGAAGGATCATTGGTGCCTCACTCCCCTCACTCCCCTCCCTGCAGGACATATACGACACTCGCCTCACCCGCAAAGTGACCATGATTGTGCGTGACTCCAGCCACCCCTCACACAGTCTCTTCAGCCTCCTGCCCTCTGGGAGAAGATACCGGAGCCTCCGTGCTCGCACCACCAGACTCTCAAACAGCTTCGTCCACCAGGCTGTTAGGAAGCTGAACTCTCTGAACTCTCTCCCTCCTCTCTTTTAAGACTCCCCATGTCCAACTGCTGCTAAATACAGATTGATAGTTTTTTTGTTTTTTTCTCTTATTATATATATATATATATATTGTCTAAATGTTTTTTAATCTATTGCACTGTATTCACTTTGTATGTTTATATGTTGGACTAGAGAGAAACGTCTTTTCAACTCCCCTGTATGTTCAGTACATTGTGGAATTGACAATAAAGCAAACTTTGAACTTTGAACTTTGAGATCATCCAACAGATTGTGCTCGTTTCTGTCTTGATGGCAGAGCAAAGTGTAAAAAGGAAGAGATTTAAAGGGTTAGTTCGACCATACCACAAAAAAATAACACATTACAGCTCGGAAAGGTGACACTGGAGAAGCCAGCGAGAGATTAAAATAAAAGTAGCAGCACTAGCTCCAAAAGTTGCTAAATCTAGCGGGAAAGTTACTAAGTTGGCGACACCGACATGTTTCTTCAGGCCTCCCTCCAAAGCCATGCCCCAAAAAGTATGATTATGAACATAAATATATCATGTTTCTATAAATGTTCCCTTCAGTATCTGCCCATGCAAATATGCTGATTGCTCGATAAGCAGACTGTGAGCCTGTTGCAGATACTAAATATATAAATGACAAGAAACATCAGTTCAGGCTGCAGTTCTTTGGAGAATATATTAGAGGAATCCTTAAAAAACCTGTTTAAGAGTGCAAGGTCTGCAGTTTAAATGTGTCGTTGCTTTTTATAGTTTTGTTTAACATTAGTATATTCTCTTTAGTTTGCTATAATTATTTAAGAAAACTTGATACTTCAAAGACATGTCATTGGATACTCAACTTCTAACGCAAAGCAGGTTTGTCTCAGGGCTGAGGACACAGGTGAAGTGTTTGATTGCACAGTGATGATTAAACTCCCTTGATCCAAACTGCATTCCCTCTTTCCGTTTTGGATGTATTCAAATTTTACATGAAACATATTTCATAGTGTCTCGTGTCTGTTTGTGGATCTGTCAGATGAAGACCTGCTTTCCCGTACATGTTGACTATAGTATGTCTGATGTTCATTATGCAAGTTCATGTTCGTAGAAGACTACATAAGTACTATGTCAACTTTTTACTATAATTTCTCAAATTCTGTACAAGACCAGATTGACACACGAAGAAAAGAATGAACCAACAGAGGTTATTTATTTCCATATATATCTTTATTATCCGTTGTTTCCCATATATTTTTATATCTTTATTCTATACAGGTGTATTTCTCAATACAGTCTTTTATTGACATACATATATCTTACATGAGCTCGAGAGGTATGAGAGAGAGAGGCAAGAGGGAGTTTACATCCTTCATAACATATTTTGGCAGTTAACAAGACAATAGATCACATTACAGACACACACACACACACACACACACACCACGGCATGCACACATAAAAGGGGCTGAACACTTCTAATCCTTTTTGCACAACCACCCATACAGGCACCAACACACTAATCAAGGCCCCCCCCCCCACACACACACACACACACACACACACACACACATACATGGAGAGAGGAGACAGATATTCACAGGATAGATTACACCAATACCAAACTGACTAGTAAATACACATTGAGATGTACAGTACTCGCCATATTTTAATTCCTGCTCCTACACACACTCTCAGAAACACACCGACACACACGCGCTATTTTTTGGTAGAAAGTAAAAAGCAGTAATGCTGATTTTCAGACTATGCCATTGATAATGCTATTAGCTCTGATCCATATTTGGTTTCCATTACTGACAGTTATGCAGAATGACAACAGAGTGCAGAATGTCACTGTGATTAAACGAGGACCATCAGCACGATGTCATGTGATGTCACATGTGATGTTTGTCACACGAGTGTGGGAGGTCAAAATGACACGTTAGAAAATAAACACATTTTATATTGCAGTTACAGGATGAATACACTTGGTTGGTTATGTCTGTGATCTATTTTTTTCAACTGGAAATTCTAACAGTCTTTTTTTCCAGACACACAAACACGCAGGCAGTCACACGCACGCAGTCTCTCTCACACACACACACACACACACACACACACACACACACACACACACAC